ATATCCAGCCTCACTTGTATAAAATGATTAAACTTCTCTTCAGCAAAATCTAGGTAAGATATATACTTAAGTATTTTGCTCTAAATATAGTTTTACATTAAAAAAGAACACATTTAAAATCAAGCTATGTTAGTTGAACATAGTACATATGCAGGGGTATTTTGCCATATAAATATTGTCCCTTTCCAGGTTAAACAAGCAAATACACTTGTCTTATAAAATCGTATGGCGTACCCAGCCATCAACATTCACTTCTGTGACCTAATTATTATGAAATAATTTAAATTAAACTAAGCACAGTCTAAGAATTGAATGTCTGTGTTGTTTATGTGTTTTACAAAGTACATTTCATTATATTTTAGAATTCATTTGCTCAGTTTCTCTGTCCTGACATATATATGAAAGTTTGTTTATTTCAGATGAGATACTTCGGAAAAACTGAAAGAGAAATGCTGTTTCATATCCTACATGAACTGAAAAATATATTTTATATTAGGGAGTTGATGTGGCATTTGGCACATTGGAACTATGCATTGTCCCTTAAAACATCAGTTAATTTCTGTATCACTAATATGGGATACTATTTCAATTAAACTATTTCCAGTCATCATATAAGTAAAACTGGAGTTTTCATGTTGTAAGGAACAATAATTTCAGTATCTTGAATGTTATAAAAGGAGAAATTCTATTATATTGCTGAAATTATTTTATTTATCTGAACTGAAAATAAGAACCATGCAAAGCAATGGTATTTTCTATTACTGTATTTAGCACGTGTGTATTGATGCAAAGTATGAAACATCCATGCAGAAAATTATGCTATTTTTTCAAATTTATAAAGCCATTTATTTCCTTTAATTTCAAGACAAACATACAAAGTCTGCCTATGGAATTCACAATATTACCAAACAGCTTTGTATTTATCTTTCATGGAAGTAAAAGACATGCAAAATGATAAGGTTAAAAAGAGCTTGAAGATGATGCAAGAAGATGGAAATAACCTCCATGCTCACAGATCGGCAGTTTGTCTTAACATCCCTTTATATCATCATTTAAAAGTACAAAATTCTCTATAAAATACACTTAAGTCTGTTAATTTTTACTTCCAAGGATATCAACAGTAATTTAATTTTCACAACCTAAGTAAGTAATGTTCAGTGATTTTTATGGAACATTTTGGATGACAAATATAATGTGGTTATTTGAATACTGGAGAAACTTAGAGAACAAATAACTTCTAATGACAAAGCCAAGTGTAATATTGATGTTTGGCACGAATATGTCCATTTGTTTCTTTTTCTGCCTCTGTTCTATTGCTCTCCTTCCCAAACAAATGGGCTTTTATATCTATTTTTTTGCCTCATATATTTTTAAAGAATTAGTATTTTACAACAATCCAGAGATTATGTGATTTTCCCACATAACTATTTTTATATTTATTCATATGAATATATCTTAGATAAATACAGTGACCATCGTACTATTTTTGAAAATACAGTATTTTCAGATTTAGATACTGATAGGCATTTATTCAGACAGTAATATATCATGCTGTCTTCGAGTCTCCAGTGTGTTTTTACCGGAGTGAGTGTATGAAATATTTTCATGTGTTTAAGTACATGGCCCAGTCTCTATCTATCATCTAATCCTCTACATTTTATATATCTGAAATTGCTGGACATAAATGTGTATGTGATTTTGTGAAAATACTGATTTAAAGTGATTTTTATAAAACTGTGAAGAAAGATTATATATTTTAGGTTTTATTTCAGGATTCGAATAACTATGTGTCATTTGATTTGAGTATGTAATTTAGAGTGGAAGCTCATATTCAAATGAGCCGGACATGTTTTCACAACAGTCCCTCTCTTTGTGAGATGCTGCCTACTTTGAGTACAAGGCTTCTTGGCTGCCTGATACATCCCGATTAGAAGGATCATTGCATAACTAGTGTTATTTATTTCACAGTCAGGCACTGAAACTGTGCCTGGCCCAAGACCAGGCTATTATTTTCATTTATGATTTATTTTTTATTTGAATTACAAACAAGATTGAATTACATGACAATCCCAGTTCCCTTCTATCTCCCCTCCTCCCCTACCACCCCCCCCAACTAAAACCCTACCTATCACATATCCTTTCTTCTAATCTATGCCTGACTCAACCTTTCTGCTCCCTCATGACCTCTGCATCCTTCCTCTTCTTCCCTTCAAGACCATGCTATTATTAATCTAGGAAAATTGAGAAAATTTCCTCTCATCTGTCTTTTTCACTGTGCCTTTTACAATGTTTTCTAAGAATGTTCCTTTTATGGACTTCTATGGAGCAAAACAGCTCTAAAACTCTGTGGAAATGATCTAATCTATAAAGTGCTTGCCATACAAGCGTGAGGACCTAAGTTTGATCCCCAGAAATCACATAAAAGCCAGCCTTGCCAGTCATATTGGTGAGACTCTAACCTCAAAAAAATGAATGGGTTTTTGTTGTTTGCTTTTTTTTTTTCTAATAGCCAGAAATGGTAATACAACGTTGCCATCCTAGTCTGTACCATATTTTTAATTGGGTTATTTGTTTTCTTGATATCTAGCTGTTTGAATTTTAATATATTTTAATATTAACTCTCTATCAGATGTGTAATAGGCATGCACCATTTTCCCAGCTTATTTCTGATAAACCCTGCACTAGCTCCTATGTGACAAGAGTAGCCATTTTCATTTATCTACTATTTAGAATTGATTAAACTCTATTATAAATGAAAGTTAACAAAATTTAGGTGTCTTTATTATCTTTGTTATTCTTACTGCTAGTCCTAATTTTCACGAGGTATTCTACTGAACGTACATGTTCCTAGTTTAATTGGCAACTTATATTTACCCTGGGCTTCTTAAAATCTTGGATATGTCTTGTATTCCTTGTGATAATGAGGATGGAACCTGAGAAGCTGTATTCTGAAACACTGAGTGGGTGCTGTTGCCGCTTTACCACTGACATCATTGTTGCTTTAAAATAAGTATAACTGGTCATTGTTTTAGCATACTGTGATATAGCTTTCAGTGGTTAAGTTTCTCTTCATAGCACTGCTACCAACACTGGTTATTTTTTCTTTTATTTATTTCTTTATTTTTAATTTAATTTAATTTTTGGTTTTTCCAGACAGAGTTTCTGTGTGTAGCTTTGTAGACCAGGCTGGCCTCAAACTCACAGATATCTGCCTGCCTCTGCCTCTGCCTCCCTAGTGCTGGGATTAAAGGCATACACCACCACTGCCCAGCTGGATATTATTTTCTTAATATCCCCTTCTCTCATTCAATCTATAATACTCAAGGTTCGATCATTGAGAGTGTTTTTCTAATGTGTTAAGTTTCATATTATAATCTAAGTAAATGTATCATTTACATTGTTTTTCATTACCTAATCATGATGTTTCCCATTTCTTAGCCAAAGCAGTATTTTGCTTTGTGGTTTCTCATTGGTCGCCCCCCCTGGCATATTCCTTTAGTGTTCTCTGTATGATCACTAATTCTCCCATACAGATATTTTCACTATGAGCATGACTCTTGATAATATGCAAATTCTTTTTTAATAAATAAAATACATATATTCGTGGCTTTTCCTGAATGGGAAAATTTTGTTCTGTTTTCAAACAGTTTTACCAAACACCAATTTTATAGATCAAATCCTAATTAGACTGCTTTGTGTGCATTATTAGCTGATATCACTCTACAAATTAATGGTTCATTATGCAAAAATCATGTGATCATGGCTTACTAAACTGACTTCACTACAAAGTGAATGGCTGGGGAGGAGTTCACCATCAGGAAGATCTATTCTGCTAATATTTCTGTCTAAATGGTCTTTTTAATGTTCCAAATAACAATGCATGTTTATCTCATTCTTTAAAGATACAATTGTGTTACTTGATGAGTTACATTTATTGAAATGATAAAATAATAAATAACATGACATAAAATAGCTTTGCAAAACAATAAACTTTTTTTTGTAAACCTGTTGGATTTTTGTTCTTAAAACATTCTACCACTGCTTTGTGGCATTTCCTGGTTATGAATGCTGGTTATGTTTATCAGGTATATCACTGCCATATACTGATGAATTCTGGGAATTTCTGTGCACTGTATTTAAATGTGATTTTATGGTTGTTTTGTTTTAAGGAGTTTGGAATATAAAACACTCTCCCCAATAAAGGAATTGAAAATACAAGTCAGAATTTAGTATTGAATATAGCTAGGAAAAAATTTATAAAACTATATTTCAATCAAAAAGCATGTTAAATATGCAAGGTAAAAGAGTTACAGAAGCACTGTGGCAGGCTCCTGCCCCGGACATAATAAAATACCATGTAAGGCAGGCAAATTAGAGTGGAAATTAACATTTGACTTTAATTCTTAGGTCATTGGATTGAACCATTATTAATGGGATATTGATGCCTATTTTAGAAAACTGAAGTTAGATTTAATTGTATTTAGAATTGCAATGGTTCTCTTCTTCTTTGTTTGAAAACAAATACAATTCACCTAGAAAATTTGGGAATGTCAAGAAAATGGCATAAAATAATGATCTTTCATTTCTGTTTTATCCAGATGTGTGCTATTATTTGTCAAATTATTGTCAGCTGCTCAATATAAACTTAGTAACATAAATCCTGAAATTTATTTCAAGTGGATAATTTAAATGGAGTGTCCTGTGATATTTATTCTAAGCTTTAAATCTACATCCTCACATGTATTTTAAGAGAAAGTGCCAGATGTTTCTGGAATGCTTCCAACCTGAAGAAATTGGAAAAGAAGTTAGATTTAATTGGGTTATATGAGCATTGAATGTGAGTGCTAATACCTGGATGGAAATCTGCATAAGTAATGACATCATTTAGAATGTAGCTCTATCTTTTGAAGTATACATACCAAGCAAGCAAGAAGGTGAATGTGCAAATGTTCGTTAGCGTAATTTATAAAGTTGTTTGTTATCTTTCTTTTCCTTCACAGCCGGAAAGAAATGAGAGTGAACCAGGCAGCCAACGAATTAAACCTGTTTTTATTGAAGATGCTAATTTTGGACGCCAGATATCCTATCAGCATGCTGCGGTCCATATTCCCACGGACATCTATGAAGGGTGTAAGTAAAAAGGCTATGAAGTACTATTGGGATGCTGAACGTATCTTATATGTCTTATCTAGAGAAACAAAATAGGAGCGAGTGTGAAACTGTCTCAGTCACAAAGTATATGAGTCCATGGAAAGGCTTGAGCCACATTTCTGGAGTAGATTGCTTGACTAGTATATAAGGCCAGCCCTGGGTTGAGTCTCTAGAAAAAAATATTTCAAAACTAAACAGTCACAAATAACAATAACAAAATGTCATAGGTAGACTCTACTTATGCAGTGACAAATGTAATTGTTGTGTACAGTTTCTATCACATAGCTTCTAGAACTCCCTATTGGAAAGTAGGAGTTGTTCTGATCTACTCTTGAGTAAAATAATTCTGATATCCTAATTAGTATAGATGACTTTCAAAGTATATAGATTTGTTCTTTAGAAATCAAAATAGCACAGCTACACATTATGTATGCATAAGCGTACCAGCTGGTTAAGGGAGAGAAAGTTGTGTGCTTCAGACTGCAATTTTAGACTGCATCTTTACCATTTCTTGCAGTGTCTGTCAGTGTGTCTTTCTTTTCTTTACCCTAGAACAAATTTAAAACGCCTTAATTTTCCAGAATATTGTGGGATCAAGATAAAATGAATTTTCCTTTTGGGAAAGGAAATTGAACTGGGGCTCTCAGTTAAGATGGCTTCAATGTAAGAAAGGGAAGAGGGTGAGTGATTAGAAAAGAGACAGGGAGAAGCTTGTGTTGTGTTCTGGGGCTTTACATACATTAATGAAGGTAGATCTGAGGGTCCTAAAGAAGGGTTTTCCAAGGAAAGCCTGATGATTTGTGATCCAGGCAATTGGTCTTGACTCAGTCATAGACTTGGGTTCCCATGTTCCTCGTTTCCTAGCCCTTTTCCTAAATCCCTTTCTGTGCCTAATGCCCCAATTCCTGGCATAAAAAAAAAAAAACAGGAACAACCCACTGTGCATTTAAAATAATATCTTTCTTATATTCTCACTAAGTTGAGAAACTGTAGAATTGATCAGGTATGCATAGCATACCTGAAATTGAATCCAGGAGCTAGACTGTATGAGCTCAGATCTAAACTTCAGCACTATCGTTTTCTCAACTAAGTCTTTCACCTTTCTCAGCAAACATTTTCCTAGATGCAAAATGGAGTTAAGATTACAGACCTAAAAGACCATTTAAGAATGAAGTAACAATATAATTCCAGTTCTCTAAATAATAGCAAACTCAAGGTAGGCTAATAGCAGAATTTGCTATTATTAGCGCCATCTTACATTTATTCAGGTGAATAAATGTGTAAAGAATTTTTGTAAACTATATTTATATAGCATATAAAATAGTATATAGTTTATATTTTACATAGTAGATGTGTTCTGGGGCTATTTATTAAGGAAATGTGAGATGCATGCATGCATCTTTTTTCAGATGTTTTTATTTGAATTAGAAACAAGATTGTTTTACATGACAATCCCAGTTCCCATCTCCTTCCTGTCCTCTCCTACCCCCCCCAACTAAAACCCTACCTATCACATATCCTTTCTGCTTCCCCTGGATGGTAGGGCCTTCTATAGGGTGTCAACAGAGTCTATCGTATCCTTTGGGATAGGGCGTGGGCCTACCCCCATGTGTCTTGGCTCAGGAAGTATTCCTGTATGTGGAATGGGCTCCCAAAGTCCACACCTATGCTAGGGATAAGTACTGATCTACTACAGGAGGTCCCGTAGATTTCCGAAGTGCATGCATGCATCTTTGTATAACATAAATTTTGTCTTTTGTTAATTTGTATTATTCATTCATTAATTCTGTCCTTTTTTTGTTTCCTGTGTTGCTGGGGTGGCACCCAGGCTCTCACAATCATTGGGCAAATGCAGTGCCACCACCTCACATTCTCAGCCATTATCCTTTTAATTGTTTTAAAGATACTTGCTAATTTCAGTGTATAGGTTCTTTTAGAATTTTATTGTACCCACTTTTAATGAGAAAAGAGTATGTGTATAAAGCTTGTTAATACATGACAATGAAATTTTGTTTCACTGTCTGGCTTTTTATATTTTCCCCCCATTCTGTTATTCAGTAGTTTCTAAAATGCCAAAAAGATACCCTCAGTCAGTGATTTTTTTCACTAAACAACTGTATTGTGTGGCTCATTTTCTTTAGCATATGTATTCTCATGAATGCTTGATATGAAATACATTAACTCATATTCCTAAGTAGAGGAATTGAAGCTCTGTCTGAATGTGTCAGTTTGTTCCTCAGTAGGAGACATGTCTGACATTTTTTGTTGAAAGATAGTCTTTCTGTAAATTGGTAGATTAACACCGATGATTTCAGAACCCACATTGTCCACAAAAAGTAAGACACTTTATAGGAGAAGCTTCATTTCCTCCTTCTGTGGATTTACTTTATTATTGTTAATCATGTATTATATGTTTCTGCCTGCATATGTGTGTGTACACATGAGAAATGGTGGCCACAGATGTCTTAAAAGGACACCACATCCCCTAGAGCTGGAGTGACAAATGATGCAACACGAGAGCTATGAACCAAACTGAGGTCCTCTGGAAATCTCGTTTCTTGATCACACTTTTATTCATGCAGGTGTGTGTGTGTGTGTGTGTGTGTGTGTGTGTGTGTGTGTGTGTGTGTGTGTGGAGCTGGGGAATATGTTGGGTAGTATCCTCAGGAAGACCATCTACCTCATCTTGGGCAGTATCCTCAGGAAGACCATCTTCCTCCTTTGAGACAAGTTCTCTTACTAGCCTGGCACTCACAAAATAGGTTAGAATGGCCCTCGGTGAGCACCAAGAAGTCGTCTGTATCCACCTGCTCAGCACTGCAATTACATTGACCCAGCACAATACTCAGTATCTTTATGTGAGTTCTAGGAATAAACCCTAGTTCTCACTCTTTTAAGGCAAGCACCTTTTTGAATGAGTCCTTCTCCCAGCCCTTTGTTGTTTTCTTCCTCTTGTGTGGTGTCACTGGGTGTTCCTCTGTGTATAGAGGCCAGAGGCTGATGCTGGTTGTCTCCTGCAGTCACTCTCTTTAGTTTTTGAGACAGGGTCTCTCACTGACCTGGAGCTCATTGATTCAACTAGGCTGGCTCTTTAGTCGGTTCCTGAGATCCATCAGTGTCTAACCTCACACCCACTCCTAGCACTGCTGGAGTTTCAGACTTAATTGCTACCTACCTATCCCTTTCATGTGTAATGAAGACCCAAATTGAGATTTCCATGCTCGGACCTTATAGGTGACCATCTTCCCATTACCCCGTTTTCTGATTCTTACATTCTTGCTATTTTTCAGCAAAATAACAGTTATAGCTAATGTCTTAAGATATCAATACTTTTGTTTCCAATTTAGAATAAATTATTTTTAAGCATCTGTAGAAATAATTTTTAAAGGTCACAAAAGTAATATTATTGGCTTGAAAACCAAAGAGATAAATGCTTATGTTCTTAAACATTACAGTGTAGTATTTGGCTTACTTTTGGAAAAAAGAAAAGTTCAAAATTGGTTCATTTATTTTGCCTCACTTTTTGTTAATATTGCATCCTCATTTGCTGAGATCTCATCAGTGTGCTGCTAACCTCTTGTGGCCCGTATGCCTTTAAAATTCACATCCAGCATTTGCGCTGCATGAGCAAATGACAGGAGTCAAATTAGAAATGTCAACAAGATCTGGAGAGTCTATAATTCCCGGTAGCCGACAGTCAGTTCCTCAGAACCTGCCAGACGTGAGGACGGCTTCAAGTTCTGAGTTTAATGAATATGAAAGTGCCCTGTAATTGAAGGCGTAACACAAGGAACAGCCTCTCCGATTGCTCAAAGGCATTTGTGTAGCTACATCTCAGAAGCAATCTCATGTTCAAATTTCCCAAAGGAAATTACTTTTTAAGATCCTTTGAATTGAAATGTTATTATTTTCAGTCAATTATATATTTAAATTTTCAAAATTGTAGCTTTAATTAGCACCCCCATCTAAATTTTTCCTGTTTGGGAATTTCATTGTTTGCTACATTTTGATTTGCACCCAAACCACTTAATTTGCAGATCTCATTTAGAACATAAACAAAAACAAGTTCTGAATATTGTGAACTAATTAGTTTTCTCAGTTGTTTATTTCTCCATGTTTGCAATGACACTGGTCAGGCTCACACTAGGCAGCCATTCTAACACGGAGATGCATCCCAATGCCCCAGGTTAGTTTGAGCACAGAAATTTACTAATATTTTAATCATTTCAGTACTATCTTCTTAGACTATTCTATATACTTATACTCACTTTAATGACATGTATGGTTTTTGTTTATATAAAGTTTGTAGAGAATGTATGTAGTATTTGGACTGCATGCCTGTGAGTATACCATGTACCTGCCCAGTGCCTTTGGAGGCCAGAAGAGGGCAAAGATCCTCTGATGCTGGAGTTAAATGGTTATGAGCCATCACTTGGATGCTGGAAACTGAACCTTGGTCTGCTGAAAAAGCTGCAAATGTTATTAATATCTGTGCCATTGTTCCAACCCCATATAACTTTCTTTAAAAAAAAAAAAAAGAGAGAGAGATACGTATGTTAATCAGGCAGGTGGATACCAGTGAGTTAGAGGTCAACTTGTGGTCTATACAATGAGTGAGACCACAACCAAAAGAAAAAAAAAAAAGGAAAAAAAAAACAATAATTAAACAAGCAAGGAGAAAATATCTTACCTGTCTTAGGTCCAAGGACAGCAGAGTAAGGGACTGAGATTGGACTGTGACTTAGAGTCTACATAATGGAGAAAAGGCCTCACTGTCCTATACCAGGAGCAAACAGGATCCAGCATATGAGGTTTTCTTCCTTCAGATGTAAGGGCTCTAGATCTCCATCTCACTCAACATAAAGAGATTCTGGAGACTGCTTCTAGGAAATGCTATTCTCTGATCAGATTTTACCCCCCAAAACATGTAGACTTTCATTTTTATGGAAGAAGAAATGGAGTACATTTTTTCTTGAAGA